TTATTGTAGAGATGAGGTCTCAGCAAGTTGCCCAGGCGGGTCTCGAACCCGCGGGCTCAGGCAATCCACTCACCTCAGCCTCCCAAGGCACGGAAATATATGGATACTCATTTTACTGAGGTTCATTTTACCGAGGCCTATCACATTGGCCCTTCTATGAGATAATTGTGGATAACTCTTCCAACTTCCTCACTAATAAAAATTAGTCATACTGGATATAACCCAGAAGGAATATATCTCTCCAAGGTCTCCAAAACTTGTAGTATAATGGCCTGATTTCCTGAATTATTTTGGTTGTGGATCAGTGGTCCATGGTAATGGTATGGTGTCATGCAGAGGCAACCAGGGCTTTGGAGTTGTGTGCGCCCACAAGCAGAGAAAAATCGCCTTTCACGCTCCACCCCATATCCAGTCAGTCATCAAGACTTGATCCTGGCACTTTAATGCCTCTGTAATTCCTCAACTTTTCTCCAGGCTCACTGCCATGTCTATAGTTGAAGACAACTTTGTTTTCTGACTGGAGGATTTCAAACGTGCTGTCTTAGTCTGTTTCTGCTGTAACAAAATACTGTAACTGGGTAGTTTATAAATAATAGAAATGTATTTCCATGTTTGGGAGACTGGGAAGTCTAAGCTCTATACATCAGCAGATTTAGTGTCTGACTTGCTATCTGCTTCCTAGGTGGCATCTTCTCACATGGAGGAAGGGATGAACACTGTGCCTTCATGAGGCAGAAGGGCAAAAGGGATACAGCTGTCCCTTAGACTTCTTTTATAAGAGAATTCATCTCATTAGTGAGGGTAGCACCCTCATGACTCAATCACTTCTTAAAAGGCCCCACCTGTTAAAACGATCACATTGTGTCTTAACCATGATTTTGGAGGGGCACAAACAGGTCATAGCAGGTGCCTATCTGTCCTCCTTCAGATTGTTGTCCATCCAGCAGTCAGAGTTAACTTTCTAAAATACAGTGAATGTATTGCTCTGGCTAAGTTCTTTTCATGTCTCTCCTTCATGTTTATTCTGTACTCCCCGAGAGTGACACACAAGGCCCTTCATAATCTGGCCTCTGCTGACATTTCCAGCCTCAGTGCTTGCCATTTCTACCTCTTACAGACCTGACTCCAGGCATTTCGCACCATTTGCAGTATCATGCTCTTCTGCCCCCATGGTTTGACTGTGTCCTGTGGTGAGTTGGTAAGTGATGCTATGTAAAGTTAGTAAAGTAAGATGCCTTAGATGACCAAACTAACAATATCAATAATAGATCTTCTGACTTGGTTGTTGGTTCCTTTGTCCTGTTGTCCTCCTGGTGTTTAGTAGGTTTCGTTTGCCCCATAGGCATGCGTGGTTTACATTACAAGTGCTAAGAGATATTTCCAGTTCTGCCCCCTAAACAGACAAAATACTACATTCCTTAGTCCTCTGAGGCTACCTTCTAGTTCTAGACGAAAGACTGCAGTAGAAAGTGATATGTGATCACTTCCAGGCCAAAGCTCTTAGCCAGGGCACAATTTGCCTTTCTCTCTTCCTTTACTGAAGAGATTGTAAAAGAACATTTTGATATGGAGATACCACAAGATCAAAGAAACCTAGATTGCTGAGCTGGCTGCTAAACTTTACAGCTGCCCTGGAGAGTCTTCTGGACATGGAACAGACTGGAACAGACTTGGTACTAAGGAGAATAAACTTTACCTCATCAAGTCAGTGAGATGTTGGTGCTATTTGTTACTGCATTCTTTTGTGTGTTTTTTTTGAGTCAGGGTCACCCAGGCTGAAGTACAGTGGCAGGACCATGGCTCACCACAGTCTTGACCTCCTGGGCTCAGGTGATCCTCTTACCTCAGCCCCCTGAAGAGCTGGGGCTACAGGTGCACACCACCATGCTCGGCTAATTTTTTGACTTTTTGCAGAGATGAGGTCTTGCTATGTTGCCCAGGCTGGTCTTGAACTCCTGGGCTCAAGCAATCCTCCTGCCTTGGCCTTCCAAAGTGCTGGGATTATAGGCATGAGCCACTGTGCACAGCCTTAGTACATATTAATATATTCCAATACAGCATGCAATAAATATCAGTTGGCCAAATGATTGCATCAGTGCAATAATTAGTTGGTCTTTGAATTGTTCTATTTTCTTAATAAATTCCTCTCTCCTTTTCTTTTAAGTGACAAATTTCAAACAATTCAAAGCTGAATTCATCATTATGACTTACTTTCACAGGTAGGAGGACTTGAGCTCCAAACCCCTGCTGTTTTATTTTCCACTGTGCAGGAAATAGAGGCATTGCCCAAGAGTGAGAAGAGGGGGTCACAGCTGTAGGTGACAGATGAACCGTATGTGTAGATGTCTTCATCTCCACCACTGTGCTTCCCATTGCTGATTTTTGGAGGGGGCACACACTTGGCAACTGAGGTGAAGGAATGAAGGGAAAGAAATAATCAGGGAAGACATTGTCACAAATCTAAAATACATGCAGATTCTAATGGAGGGTACACAGCAGTAAAGATGCACAGGGATTTTACACATAGTTTAAGTTTATATCAAGTCAGAAAAAAAAATACTTACTTACACATGCTGGGAGAGGATTACTCCAGTCAACTCCTCTGTCTTGGATGTCACAATGACTAGTGGTTGAGCCAATTAAGATATATCTGAATAAGACAGAATCAAAGATTTTAATGGAATTCTTCCTACCCTAAGTGAAATTGGATAAAAGGATCTGAACAAATAGAATTGTTACTCAATATTAAAATGACAAAATGTTTTCCTATTGAGTACTCTATTTGGTAAAATTTCATCACTGCAACAAGATGCATGTGCTTATTCATTCATTCCTTCACTGAGTGTCTACTAAATATTAGGTATGCAGTTCATCCAAAGCTCAAGCAGGACAATAAAAGACTCACTTGAGCGTGTTCTGTGTTGTCTTTGGTTGGCAATGCCAGCTGGATTACTGACCCCAAAGTCTTGTGAGCAGATAACTGATTTATCCCACACACCATTAACTCTTAGCTCACCACATCCATTTTTATTGCTTTTGACAGGTTCTAAGCTTTCTTCCATTCATCTTACTGCCCTTTATCTTATTCTAACAGGAAAAAAAGGAATTGCTAGAGTGATTTCAGATTGTAGCCTCATCAAGGATATTGATAGTCATCAATTATTTCAAATTTTAACATTACCAAGGAATAAACCTACAGTGTGATAGCACACTAAGGTAAATGACACCTTCAGCAATCTAAGAGCCTCTGGAGTTTATTGAGTCATAATTTCAAGAAAAATATATCTTTAAAATGTATTTTTATCTTACCTAGCCAAGAGACTAAGTGCAAGATATCATTTCTTGTTATTTTGATAGGAGCACTTTAGTGTTTTAACAGCATCTTAGTTCTGAATCCCCTCACTTTCCCTCATGGAACTCACACACAATAAGGGGAAAAGGAGATAAAAATGAGAAAATCAACAAAAAGAATGAAACAAATACAAAAAAGAAAAATGATAGGTATAAATGGTAAGCAAAGGAGAATCAATATATGCTTAATTGGAGAACCTACAGAAGGAGCCCAGATAGAACAAAATAGCTTTTTAAGAAGTTATTTCAAGTAAATGTTACTGAAATAAAATATTTTACTCTACATATTAAAATTTCACACCAGTCTGGGAACAGTGGCTAACCCATAGTCCCAGCAATTTAGGAGGCCAAGGAAAGAAGATTGCTTGAGCCCAGGAGCTGGAAACCAGCCTGAGCCACAAAGCTAGCCTCATGTGAGCCATGATCATACTACTGGCACTCCAGCCTGTGTGACAGAGCAAGATCTTGTCTCAAAAAATAATAATAATAAAATTGCACATTATATAAGCAGCAAAAGATTGAACCAAATTATTTTTACCAAAACAACTAAGAGTAAAATTATGACATTTCAAAGATAAAAAATACTATCTTTGGACAGACAAATAAAGATCAAGTCATGTATACAAGAAGAAATTCAGGCCAGCAGCATCCACTAGGAAATGATAGGGCAGCAGTACCTATAAGACATCCAGGAAAAGAAAGTATGAGCCAAGTACTTTGTATCAAGCCCCAAGGTTTTTCAAGTATCAATGCCTCAGAAGTATTATTTGAACCTGCAAGAACTTAAGGAATAATTTTCATCTGGGGCATTAATTTTTAAGGAAATCACATAGAACAAACTACAGCCAACCAAGAGACAAGGGCAACTTTAGCAAAAAACAAAACAAAAAACTGGTAGCAAACATTGAACTACACATTCTAAGACAGATCTAAGACAGAACAAAAGTGGCCTTAAGGTTATTGAGTGAATATTCTATGCTCAGACTATGCTGCTGAAATGATGCAACTAACACAAAAATAGGAGTTGAAAAAGAGAGTGTAAAACAAAATGAACTCTCTCATTGCTTGATCATCTACAAGAGTTGGGAGGAAAATCAACCATAGACATGTGTGAGTGTTGCGCATTAATGTTAAATGCAAAGTAAACACAAAGATAATATACATGACGTGAATCTACTGTTAGAGAAAATAGAGTGAGGAGGAGAGGAGTGAATTCAAGATAACTTTACTGTTGCTCATAACAGAACAAAGTTAAACTGTCTAAAGGTAAAGGAGAATAATATTACATAAATGTAAATGTATAAAGGTAACACCTAGAACCAAATTTTGAACCTTCCTTAGTATCAATATACATACGTATTTTCAAATAACAAATAGATATACACACATATACATAGAGCATAAAATATGAAATAATAAGACAAAACCCAGTCTGTACGTTTCATTCATATCAATAACTGCAGTTTTGTGTAAATCTCCTATTAGAAGACAAAGAGCTTTTAGCTGGAATAAAATCGAACTCTATGTTGTATACAGGAGACAAACCTAAAAGTTTCAGACAGTCTAAAAATAAAAGGAGAGTGAAGTTATATAAAACAAATGCAAACCAAAAGAAAAGCAGAGATAATGATAATAATATCCCAAAATTGGACCTCAGAACCAAGATTATTAAATTATACAAAAATGGCTACTTTATAATGTTGAAGATTTCGATTCGCCGTGAAGAGCTATAAGTCTTTAAGTGTCAAAATATGTAGCAACAATTTTAGTAAAACAAAAATACATGAGGCATTAAAAAAAAAGATCAATTCTACTTAATTATCATTAAATTATTTTATAATATTTAAGATAATTATAAAATTGTTAATTCACTTTAATTAATATTTATGTTTAAAGCATATAAAGAGAAACATAATAAAAGATTCAAAAGAGTTTACCAACAAAATTGATCTGATGGTAGATATCAAACTCTACATACTGATAATAAAAATATAATCTAATTTCAAGTGCCTGTGGAATATTAATGAAAATTGACCATATATTATTATGCACCCTAAAACCCCAGTAAATTCTAAAAAGTAGAGGTAAGAAATATTCTTTGTTGGTCTAGAGCTCTTAGGTGCCAATGAAGAAATGCTTTTACCATGGGACATAGCAAGAATTCCAAAAATTAAAATTACCAGATTTAACAAATAAAAATATAGAATAACTAGTTAAATTTGAATTTCATGTAAATGACAAATTTTTTTTAAGTTTAAGCATGATCCAAATATTACATGAACCATACTTATACTAAAAATATTTATTGTTTATCTGAAGATCAAATTTAACTGGCATCCTGTATTTTACCTGGCGATCCCAAATTAAGCTTGAAGTTGAGAACTGTTAACTCTGGACCATCATGTGAATGAATGAACAGGCAAAGCAGGGGTTTACTCTAATGGTTGAGGCGCTTAACCCTGGTTATGAAGGGAAAGTTAGACTGCTTCTGCATAATGGTGATAAAGATGAGTATGTCTGGAATGCAGGAGATTCCCTGGGGCGCCTCGTTGTAGTCCCCCGTCCAATGAAAAACTGTAACAACCCAAACAGACAGGACTGCTAATGGCCCAGACCATTTAAGAATAACCTCTCAACAAGCAACAACAATCAGATGACTGCTTGTTGAAAGTAAACGGAATGAATAAAAGAAGCATGTAGTTATAAATACCAGCTACAATCACATAACTAGTTGCAGAAACAAGAATCATAATAGTAATAAATATTTCTTTCTTATTTTAATATAAATAAATTTCACATAAATAACTTTTTTCTCTTTACCTCTTTCATTCCCCTGCTATATGTATTAATAGTGGTTTTCTTTACATCTTAGTATTTAAGTTACAGAATATCCAATGGGAACTCTGACGCAACTCAAAGAAGATTCCCTTTTGGGAAGACAGTCCCCATGTTTTCAGTTGCGTGGGGATATTTGCATTATGGAAGGTGTTAGCATTATTTTGCTATTGTTTTTATTTAGAAGTCAAGCTAAGTATGGTTAAAACAAATGCATACACCAAATTTGACAAAGAGTGGGCTATGGTAGATTTGTGTTGTGTCAACTTAGCTAAGCTGTAATTATGTTTCCCAGAATTCTCTTCCATGCATAATGCCAAATTACTATATAGCCCACAAGAGATAGTAGATATGGATTAGTAACCATATTTTTTCATGCTTGAAGGGGCAGAGCAGAGCACGGGATGTGATTGCAGTTGGTACATATTGTTGCTTCTCTGCTCTATCAACCTGTTGGCAGAGGGCACAGCCAGGCCCAGAACAGAGCCAGCTTCTACAAGATTTCTTTCATGAACTTTGACTTCTGAACCAGGTACATTAGCACTGTGATGAAGGACAAACACTTCTGTGGACAACCTCACCTTTGAAGTTGAAGGCCAATGGGCTGTGAAGAACAAGGTGAATTCCTGTTGATAATGGTGGGCTCCACTTACTCATCCATGAAGGTTTCAGTTTGTCCTTGTGGCACTCAGTTTATGTTTATCTTCCCTTCCTGACTCCCCTGCCTTCCTGACTTCAGGCTACAGGAACAGCCTCCTGTATACTGCTTAACCATCTACTATACCTGTATCAAGTCAGATCCTTATAATAAATTCTGTGGTGTTCTATTTCTCTGAGTAAATTCTGATTGATATAATTAGCTAACATAAATAGACAATAACAAATTAGAAATCTAAAAATTGGAAAGTAAGAAGTAGAATAATCACTATTTGCTGATGATGTGATTACAAACCAGGTAAGCCCAAGAGAATTCAATTGAGAGACTATTATAAATAATAAAAAGAATTTAGAAGTTAACTGAGATATTAAACTAACGTGCAGAAATTAATAGTAAGTAGATAGAGAGATAAATAGATAGATATAGAGGATATGCAAAATCTATATGAGGAAAACTGTGAACCTATCCTGAAGAAACAAATTTTAAAAAGACTAAACACTAGGTACACACAGGCACAAGAATGGGAACAACAGACACTGGGCACTGCTAAAGGAGGGATGGAGGGAGGATAAGGGATACAAAACTACTCATTGACTACCATGCTTACCACAGGGGTGGGGGAGGACAGGCTTCTCAGAAACCCAAACCTTGTATTCATTCAATATATGTACGTAACAAATCCTCATAAGTACTCTATGATTTAAAAAAAATACTAAGAGGCTTAGTATTACAAAGCATTACAAAAGGCAGCAGAACATGCCAAAATATGCCACTTTGGTATAAGGATTGTTTTGAGTTGAAGGCACTTAAAAAGCAGCAAGATGCAAGAAGGGCACTCTGACCTCCCTTTTCTTCCTGAAAGCAGGAGATACAACTCTCACATGAAATATGCCTTTCTTATACCAGAAGGAAAAGAAAATTCTTACCACCAGAGACAGAGCCAAGGCCAAAAGAAATCTGTACAAACCTTGTTAAAATAACCCTTATCTTTCCTTAGTCTTTCCATGTATTTTAGTTACTTTTTCACAATTACTGCTGTTGTTCAACCTGGTATATATAGACCGCTTTTTGGGTCTTCATTTTCCTGTGAAAGCTACCCCATATATATAAAAATAAAATCTGTATGCATTTCTCCTGTTAATCTGTTTTATGTCAGGCCCAGTAGAGGTCCTAAGAGGGTAGAGGAAAAGTTTTGCCTTCTCTACAGCACCATTTTCTTATCTAGAGAGATTCAACATCATAAAATATCTAGTCTCCTAAAATTAATATATTAGTTTTTAGGTTTTTAATTTTAGGAGAATAATTATTTCATGATGTTGATTCTCTCTAGACAAGAATATAGTGCTGTAGAGAAGGCTTTACTAGATTCTGGTCTGGCCACATAACTCTTTGAGCTATGGTCACCATGTTTTCCTAGCTTTGGTCCCCTCCCCTATCTTGGAGAGGTGAATCTCTTCTCTCTCTCTAATTTCTAAACTATATTTTCTAATCTGGAAAAAAATGTAATATAACACTGATTTTAAAATATGCTCAAATGTATAGTTCATGTAGTCAAACTAAACAAATAAGTATTGTCAGGAAAACTTCAAAAAAGAAGAACAATAAGGTAGGACGACCCATATAGGCTATTAAATAATCTTATAAAGCCTCAATAATTAAACAACTGTGAAGCCTGTACGTGAATTCATAGACAAAATAATGACATTACATAGAAAGTCAAGAAATAGATGCAGATAAATACAGGAATTTTATACAGCATCAAAGAGCATCTCAAATTAGTGGATTAAAGATGGACTTTTTAATGGATTATGTTGTCAAAACAGGAAATCAATATGGAAAAATACAGACTAGGATCTGTACCTCATACTACATATTATAAATTAACTCCAAATGGATCAAAGCTTTGGACATTAAAAAATATGAAAATATAAAAGTAGTAGGAAAAAATATAGGCAATTATTTTTACATCTCATATTGGGGAAGGCCATTTAAATTAAGACATAAGATCCAAAAGCCATTTTTAAAAGGAAGACTGATAATTTTAACAATATAAAAACAAACTATTTCTCCTTGAAATAAAAAACACCAATAGCCAAGTGGAAAAAAAAAAAAAAAGACTGGGGGAAAGTTACGGCTTATATCAGAAACAAGGCCTAAATCCTGATATGCATAGGCTCATGTGTATGTATGAATGTATATATTCTAAAAATTAATAATAAAAAATTCAATAAGAGAAAAAATAGGCAACAGATATGCCCACTAGTTCAGAAATAAATATAAACATCTCTTGAACATAAAAAAATACTCATCTTCATTGATAATAAGATCAATATACATTGAAACTATAGTGAGGTTTTATTTTTATCTCTTACATTGGGAAAAAATTCAAAAATTTGACAAGTTTTCAAGTTTGACTACACAGTTGGAAAGTTTATGGAAAGACAGATGTGCATACTCTACAAAACTGTGTAGCTCATAGGAAGCACAGTATAACAAAACTTCTAAATTTTCAAAATAGGCACTCTTTAGAAAGGCCACCTCTAGTAATCTACCCCACAGATATAGCTTTCTATGTTCAAAGTAACATATGTACAAGATAATTCATCAAGACATTGTTCAGAATAGCAAAAGACTGGAAATATCCATAGATTCATTAAAGGGACTGTTAAGCCATGACACATCTACACAGTAAAATTCTATGCCATTAAAGGACATGAATGAGGAACCTCTCTATGCACAAACATGAAAATGTCTCCAGTATATATTGATAAATAAACAATAAATCAGATTCAGAACAATGTTTGTTATTGAAAAGGAGAAAATAATAATATATGTTAATTTCTTAGGTTGTATTTGTATAAGGAAATACTAGAAGGATACATAGGAACCAATAAAAATGGATTTTTGCTTGAGGACAGGTAGGATGGGGTATATGGAGATAGTATGAAACTGAGATAGTATTTTACATCATTTTAAATTTTGAAATGAACACATTTGCTATTTTAAAAATAAATTTAAAAGAATTGTTTGTAGATTACCTCACACTCACCCTTCTGAACAGCTGAATTCTATTTGTGATCCAAAAAAGAGATCTGTCTTAACTTCCACTTTCCCATTAGGTAAATCTCCTGGGGATCTGCATCGTTTCTCTGGGAGCAAAATTAAAACCATGATTAGTGATTCCAGGTACTCATAGATACAGCTTTGGAAAAGAAGATAAATTGATCAAGTTCCACCTCTGCTTCCAGAAATACCCAGAGGTTTGGATTCAAACTTATTTCTGATCCTTACTCACTGGTTTTTTATGCTATAGAAAGAATTAATGCAAAATTTGATCTCACTTGTTCTGGTATGTTTTACCAACAGAGGAAAATGCCCAGTTAAATCATTGTGGTAACAGAATTCATGATCCAGGATTGAATATGCTGACTGGTGACCAGGGAGCTTTGCTTCATTCTATGTCTGTGGTATGTACTTTGAAACTAGGACCCTCAAAAATGCATGTCCTTGGTCACAAAAGGAAAAAAAAAAAGATATAGATTATATATTCTTACGATTGGAAAACCAATTGGCAGCGAAACCTAGCTTCTTCCAAATACAGCAGATATTGTTGGTGAAGTTATTTTGGAAACTGCATTACCACCTTTTAGCCTAAATTTTTGTAGTTTTTTTAAAAAGTGAATTTGATTTTCAATATTTCATAAGGAAATTTGTGGTCCATTTCTCGAAAGAAGTGTTTAGTGAATTCATAAAAAATAGACATCTTTTTCAATGCAATTCGTTTCCACCTAATTTATTTCGTTTTATTTTTCAAAAAGCGGCTAATGTATATACTTTGAAATCAGTAGCTTACAAACTGGATTGTTTCTTGGTGGCTGAAGATTAAAAAAATTTAGTTTCTGAAACAACTTTCCAAAGATGAATAAAGCATAAATGAAAAAAATAAATATTGGTACTCACTGATACAGAAGTTAGTATAACCCCATAGGCCAGTATGTTTACAGGTGAGTATCTGATTTGAACTGACCCTACTGTAGCCTGGGCGGCAAGTGTATCTCAGAATATGTCCAGTTTTGAAGTCTGTCATATTCATCTCATTTATTGGAGTAGCAAATGGTAGTCTGGGTGGAGGACCACAGTTGCCTGGACACCAAAATGACAAGGAGTACCAAAAGTTATATCATAAGACACAGTATCTTAATGTTTCAATAGTATGATTTTAAAGCAGGGATCATTCTTGTCTCCTCTAGTCAAGAAAAATAATGACTTCTATTATTTTATCTGTTCAGTACCATCAGTGGGCTATCAATAATATATATTCGTTGATAAATGATAATGACATTGATAATGATAAACAATAACAATAAAAGGTAGAATTTTTTATTCCTTATCTACTATATAGGAGATAATTTATCTGAAAAAGATGACATGAATTCCATCAGTCTATTAGATTTCCTATATCTGCTGACTTGGATGCATCTGTGCAAAGCCAGAAGTCCCTACAAGTTTATCTCAACAGAAACATATTATTTTAGTAAAAATAACATTATATAACATTTGTTTGTCTCGGGGAAAGGAAACTGGGTGGCTGGGAGATGGGTAAGAACATTTTTAATTTATATTTTTTGTACCTTTTGGATGTTTTTTAAACCTTTTTAAAAAAAATTTTATAAGGACAGGGTCTTGCTATGCTGCCCAGGCTCATCTTGAATTGTTGGTCTCAAGCAATCCTCCTGCCTTGGCCTCCCAATGTGCTAGGGTCACAGGCATGAGCCACCACACCTGACCATCTTTTGAATTTTGAATGATGTAGAAGAGGAAGCATGGAGCCCTTGAAACATAAAAATATCTTAATCCTGCTTTCCTTTTAAGAATTAAATACAGGGCTAATTTATCTATTAAGAGCCCCAGAAGAAGTATACTCTTCACCTCTCCATTCTGAATAAACCCACAAGCAGTGAAAATTGTTCTGTCAGACTGATAGATAATACAGATTTCCCAACCAAGTTATGGTTGGGAAACAGATTGTTCTGGAAATTCTTGGAGAAGAAATTCTAGGGGAAATTGTCTAGGAAACTACCTATATTATGAGTAAAGCAAATTTCCCTAAATTCCAGTTGGTCAAATAAATCACTTGTTGCTGAAGCTGGATTTCTGCTAAGAAACTTAGTTATCGTTTTTTTAGTCTTAAAAGTGAATGTGGGAGTTATCGCCATTGTTTGTCCCCAGTCTGAGCTTGTTTTCCATTACTCACCAAGAACAGTAGCCAACAGAGCAGCGACCAAGGTCATTTGGAAGAGAGTTGGATCAGAGACTTTCCACAGCACAGAGAAGGGCCAGATTGCCATTTCCCCTTTTCTATGAAAGGTCCCATGTGGAGCTTTTGAGGGACCCAAGACCTGCTGCTTCATTTTTCTGCTGAAAGAACCCAATTAAATAAAGTCATTGAATTCCCACTTGTCGTAAAGCACTAGGATACATGCTATGGGATCCTTGTCTTCAAGGAAATTACAGCCTGGAGAAGAAAAACAAAAACGTGAGCACAAACATTACAACACAAGGCAGTGAGGACCGACCTCCGCAGAAGCACTGTGCTCAGAAGAAAGATGGACTTCAAGCAGAGAGAGGGAGTGGGCTTTACAGAAGAGACTACATCTGCGCTAGGTATGCTGGAAAGGTTAGATAATACTTTGATCTGGCTGTTAAGTGTCTTAGATTGTTGTTAAAGAGGGAGCAGTTATAGATATGCCTGCATGGAATGTACGGGCCAAGTTTAGGAAATGCATAGACTTTATTTTTTGAAGAATAGAGTGTCATTGTTTTTGTTTTTTGTTTTTAGTTTTTCTTTGGGGGGTGTTTTTTATTTGTATATCTGTTTGTTTTTAAGCTAAGGTGTGACATAAAGATTGTGCTTCAGGAAGATCACCAAGATAGATTTACACAAGACAGATTGAAAGAGATAGAGGAAAGAAAAAGGGCGGTTGATTAAGAAGACTATTGCAATTGGTCAGATAACCTGAACAAAGACTGGCAGAGGAATTAGAGAAAAGGGGCACAAACATAAAACAGAGCAAAACAAAAAGATGGGAAAAATGATGAAATCGAGAAAGAGTTGGATCACTGTGCATATAGTATTGGGAGTTCCTTATGAGTAATGTTGACAACAGCAATAGACCATCAAGAAAATTGCAGTTGTGAAAAAAATGGTTTTATATATATGAAAAAATATATGTGGCAAATGCACGTTCTATTGCTGTTGCTGTTGTTATTTTAGATACAGGGTCTTGCTCTGTCACCAGGCTGGAGTGCAATGACACGATTATAGCTCACAGCTTCCAACTCCTGAGCTTAAGGGATCCTCCCACCTCAGCCTCTTGAGCAGCCAGGATGCAAGTGTGTGCCACCAGCAAACGGACATTCGGTTTTTTAAATTAGACTATTTAAAGACTTATTTAAAGGAAATCACTAACGATATTTTTATTCTTCACCACCACTTCCCGTTCCCTTTGGAGAACATGATATACCCTAATTTTACATTAGAAATAATCGTTCTCTAAGGAATATATAAAGTTAACTCTCAATGAAATATTGAATTTCATCTTTTTTTTTTTTGAGTTGGAGTCTCACTCCGTCATCCAGACTGGAGTGCAGTAGCCGCTCCCGGCCACCGCGGCCTCCACCTGCTGGACTCCGACGATCCTTCCGCCTCAGCCTTCCAAGCAGCTGGAACTACAGGCGCGCGCTGCCACACCCGGCTAGTTTTTTGATTTATTGTAGAGATGAGGTCTCACCAAGTTGCCCAGGCGGGTCTCGAATCCGCGGGTGCAGGCGATCCACTCACCTCAGCCTCCCAAAGCGCGGGATTACAGGCCGAGCCACCGAGCCCGGCTGAATTTCATCTTTTATTTTGATATCTCTGTTTATTCAAATGGGTCAACTCTCTCATGCATCCATAATTCATACAATGCCCATATCCATTAGTTAAAGGGAGTTCTCGCAATATTTTTCCCCAAGCTGTTTCTGTCCTACATTATGTGGGAAAGGGGGAATTTATCGTGGCCCTTCATATTTCATGGAGCCTAAGTTCGTCACTGAGTAAAGACTTACATAAGTTTCTTATCCCAACCGGGCTCGGTGGCTCAGCCTGTAATCCCGCGCCTTTGGGAGGCTGAGGTGAGTGGATTGCCTGAGCCCGCGGGTTTGAGACCTGCCTGGCAACTTGGTGAGCCCTCATCTCTACAATAAATAAAAAATTAGCCGGGTGTGGTAGCGCGCCCCTGTAGTTCCAGCTACTCGGAAGGCTGAGGCGGAAGGATCGCCGGAGCCCAGCAGGTCGAGGCTGCGGTGGCCAGGAGCGGCCACTGCACTCCAGCCTGGGTGACAGAGTGAGACTCCAACTCAAAAAAAAAAAAAGTTTCTTATCCTTTTAAAACTCAGTTCTGAGTTCATCTCTCCACCTGTTGTCAGTTGTGGGCACACATTCTATCCCATGTGCTCTATACATGTCCACTAGGACAATCCTGCCAAAACATAAATTTACCTAATGAACAACTTACCCGCTGTTTTCACTTACTGAAAACGTGTTCACAGAATCTGTACTGAATACATCCAGGTGAGGTAGAGAGGTTGGGAGGAGCTGGAACGAATGCTTTAGGCCTCATGCTTCCCGGTTCCCCTCTGCTTCCCCCTTTCTTTTCCTAGTATCCTCCTCCCTATCTGTAGTCTCTCCTCTTTCTTCCCTAGCAACCTGGTGAAGTTGGAGACACCTGAGAGTCAGGCAAGTTGCAAGTCATGAAAACCAGCCCACTAAATCACCTATGAAATTTATAAAATGTGATAAATTTCTCCCACGCAATAAAATCTATTATGAGCTATGAAAACTCTAGAAAGGAGTTTCTTCCATTTTTAATAGTTAGCAGATTCAGTGTGTTTATTGAATTTCAGTGAAATTGAAGAAAGGGATTAAAAATATCAATGTATTGGCAAAATAGGATGTGACTATAAAAAGCCAAAAAGATAAGAGTATAAAGCAAAAATTTCCCATATGAATTGTTGCAGTTGTTATTATATTCATGAGAAAAATATTCATTATTATATTTATACAAATATAGTCATAAGATCAAATCCTTAGCTTCAAGAAATTGAACAGAAATGTCTAAAATGCTACTTAAAAGAACCTATTCACTAGCTATATTAAATAAGAATATATTTATATTTTTGAATATTCAAAATGAGTATTTCTTAAAATGTTACTAAGTAAATTGATAATTTGATAAATTCAGCCAACTGATTTCCATGAACTGATCCTTCAGGTATCGGCATTCATTTGGCTTTAGGTGACTAACTCTTCGGTAGTTTGACAATCAGTATCCCCAACACTTTCCCAGGGTCCCTGGAAGTTCACAGCACTGTTCTAACCTTCCCCGCTGCCCAAATCATCTGCCCCCTCTCCCTTTCCTCTTTAATCCCTACTCATTCTGCCAATCCCTTCCCCAATACTCCCTCCTATCCTTCAGGCAAACTTCCCCTTACTAAGTGTAATTTAATATGTATAACTCTAATTCTGACTTGCTTTGTAACTAACACCTGAAGTCTGTCTTCACCACTAGACCATAAGATCCTTGAAGCCAGAGAGAGAATGGGCTCTTGGTCATTTCTGCCCCACATAGCACCTAGCACTATGCCTCACAAAGTTAAAGTTTCCCCGAAAATGTGTGATGAATTTTAATCCAAAAGCATTTAGTGATAAAATATGTTTCAAATAAAAATAATAGTGTTCCATATCCATATCTACCCTTATAGTGTTTGCTTTGTCAAGGTCAGAGTTTAACTGATTTTAAACAAGGCACACTTGTATTTCAGTGAGAACTGACCCAAACAGTTTTATTTTACTGTTTCCCATCCTTAACCTAAATTCATCATACCATCAACCAGTCAACAGAGGACAGTGAGAGAGGGAAGAAATAAAAACTAGTTCTCTTCCCTCCACAGGTTATGATGAGAGAATCAGGCACATACAGATCCTACACTGTGATAAGGGAGTTATTTCACTCTCTTTACTTCAGCCTCACACCAAGGCCACCATCATAGTTCTGGGTACAGTGGAGAACAGTGTGGCCAGGACCTTGAGCATGGGCTCTGCAGTCACACTCAGACCACATGTGTTTAAATCCTGGTTCCACCACATGGAAACTGAGTGTCGGTGGACAAGATACTCAGCTCCGCCAAGCCTCAGCTTTCCCTTTTGTAAAATAAAAATGGTAACTGTAATTGTCTCTCAGAACTGATAAGGGGGGCTTGGCATGGTGCACGGACAGCATATAGTAAACATTTTTTTTAATGTTAGAAAAGAATTTGATGGAATTGACACTGGAATGTGATTCTGTCAGAAGCACAACTCTGCAGGTCAAGGCTGCGGTGGCCATGAGTGTGCCATGACTCCAAAAAAAAAAAAGCAGCACAACTCCTAGAAGTCAAAACATCATCATCATAACAATGTAAAAATGGGTGGCTGCATCTCCGGGAAAGTTTAATTACACCCTAGTGCAGAAGAACATCCTATGAATTTGGACCCAGAAGCTGGCTCCAATGGTTTGTGGTCCACTGTGGTCCTTGGTACAGTGAGACCCAATGTGACACCCAGATCAGAGAGATGCTGGAGACCCTAGGGACAGTCTGGGGGTTCATCTTCACTCACCCTCAACTGTTTTCCTGGAAGGAACTCATCTACATCCATGACTTTGATCATCATACTTGAATCACTCACAGATGTCTGAACCTAATCTCCTGTATATGCAAAAATTTACATACTCCATAAACTCAATTGTTAATAGTTTTCTTATTCTGTCTTATTTCTTCCTACATGTAAGTTTTAAGCCATTCGGGCTTGTCTTCATTGCTCTGGTTGCTAACTAGTTGAATTCTGACGTTTGACCTTAAAATTGTAGGCCTTTATAAAGGCAGAAAGAAATCAAATCAAAATAAGAAGGTACTATTTTCTCTTCCCTTGCTGCAAAAAAAGCAGATAATATCTGCTTGATAAAACTGGTCTTCCAAATGTTTTTTCCTAACAAAACAGTTGTTCTTAGACTTTAGGGATTGTTGCTCTACCACTTGAAAGTCACCTTTAACCCTAGAAAATTCTGTAATTCTGACTGGTTATCTTAGCGAATTATTTTTTGTCTGGGATAACATTCAAATAAATACTTCTTTTTTTTTTTCCTTATATGAGTCTTTATTTTCCAGTTTTTTTAAACAGAGAATATATTACTATTATAATTAAAAGATTAATTCAAAATTTGAAAATGAAAATGCAATGTAAAACAATGTATTTAATTCACATTATTAAAGTTTGGAGGGAACTGATCCCTTCAAACTTTTGGTCAAATCGAATCTTAGCATTGGACAGCTG